AAAAATCCTCACCACTGGACCAATAAACAACATTCTTATCAATGGAGAAAAGATTGAAGTTGTCAAGGACTTCATTCTTCTTGGATCAACTACCAACGCTCATGGAAGCAGCAGTCAAGAAATCAAACGATGTATTACAATAGTTTTCATGTTGTCTGGACGAGTCTGGTGAAAGGAGATGGGGATAGGATTCTTTTGATTCAATAGTGTGTAATTGTTATCTTGACTAACAGTGATTTCACACATATAAAGGTAGAAGTTGCATGACAAAAAGGGGGAGTAGTTAATTAGCAAGAGGGAAGAGCATGAATGGAACGTAACCAGAAGAGTAGCAACCCCAGAGATGGAGGTAGAGATGATGGCATAGAGAGATAGAGCATCTGAGGACTCTAGACTCATGATGTTGTTGTTGTTAGGTGCCATCAAGTCGGTTCCAACTCCTAGCAACCCTATGTACAACAGAACAAAACACTGCCTGGTCCTGGGCCAACCGTACAATTGTTGCCACGCTTGCCAAGCCATCTTGCTGGGGTCTTCCTCTTTTTCTCTGACCCTCCACCTTACCAAATATGATATGACAATATGTCCGAAGTATGAGAGATGAAGTTTGACCATGCTGGCCTCCAAGGAGCACTCTGGCTGTACTTCTTCTAACACTGATTGGTTTGTTCTCTTGGCAGTCTGGTACTTTTAATATTTTCCTCTAACACCATAACTCAAATGCATCAATTCTTCTACGGTCTTCCTTATTCACTGTCCAGCTTTCGCATGCATATGAGGTTACTGAGAATACTATGGCTTGGGTCAGGTGCACCTTAGTCCTCAAGCTGACATCTTTGCTCTTCAACACTTTAAAAAGGTCTTGTGCAGCAGATCTGCCTAATGCAATAAATACATCATTTGATTTCTTGACTGCTACTACCATGAGTATTGATGGTTGGTCCAAGAAGAATAAAGACTCATAGGAACATAAAAACTATGTGCTGATGGGCAGGGGAATGCTCTGCAAAATGTGCCCTTTGGTTTTTCAAACGATTATATATCCCTGCATATTTTTGTGTGCATCAAAAAAAAAAAAAAAAAAGGAATAGAACCAAATACTGTTAATCTATGGCGCATGGAGGGAATTGTAATCATCACAGTGTAACAAAATGTGATTGGTTGAATGCAAAATTGATGTTCTGCCATGTAGACTATCACTCAATTCACAGTAAAAACTTTAAACAAGTTGGTAGCAGAAAGACGGTATGATAGGCGTTAAAGTCTTTGACAACTTAATTATAATAATGATGTTGTAAAGTGCCATCCAATCGATTCTGACTTCTAGTAACCCTGTACAGGATTTCTAAGGTTGTAAATCTTTGTGGTATCAGAAAGTCTCATCCTTCTCCAGCTGGTGAAGGCTGGTGGGTTCAAACCTCAGACTTTATGGTTCTCAGTCCAGTGCTAATCCTACATAGACACCATGCTCCCAATATGATGATAGTATCTTTAAAGTGGTGAAGAAGGTAAGAGCGTCAAATGAGTTTGAAAAATCCTCATATTAATTAGAATTTAAGGATTACCATACACATCTGGGTTTTCATCAAGTTTTTGCTTCTGCTTTTATTTTTTACATTTAATTACTCCGCATGGTTTTGACTTTGTTGTTGCTGTTGTTAAGTGCCATTGAGTCGGTTCTGACTCATAGCACTGTAAGGTTTCTGAGGCTACAAATCTTTGTGGGAGTAGAAAACCTAATCTTTTTCCTGCATGGTTTTGACTTTGGCATGTGGAATGAAGCAGAGTACTAACATTCCCTAAATAGTTATGTGACTGTCTTCGTAGCACTCACTGAATAATCACCCACAAAGGTCTGTATTTGTAGCAATTATATAAACATTGTCCTTCCCAGAGCTCCCTTTCAGTCAAATAACAAATTGGCCTAAAAAATAAACAATAACACCCATGAGGATTGTCTCCTTTAAACAATCAACTATAAGAGACCAAAGAGTCAACATTCATACAACAGCAAGATGAGAAGGCAGGAAAATTGGACTGACTGAAATAGGGCAGGCAAGATAGAAATGGTGAGAGTCTTGACACATTGTAGGGACTATAACATCACAGAACAGTCTGTGTATGAATGTAAACTCTCATTCAAAAATGTTAAGTAGTATTGCTGATAAATGCCATTGAGATGGTTCTGACTCATAGCAATCCTGTACAGGGTTTCTGAGGCTATAAATCTTTGGGGAGCCGAAGGCCTTATCTTCCTCTCAGGAGCAGTTGGTGGGCTCAAATTGCCAACCTGGTGGTACGAAGTCCAGTGTTTATCCTACAGAGCCACCACACTCTGCAAAAACACAATTAAAAAAAAAAGTTTCCCTAGCCCTACACTTACAGGTATTTCAAATATAACTTATCTAGGAGCGACATCTTGATTACTTAGCTCTGTATTCTGAAGTCAAGTTTCCATTCATCAGCCAGAATTACCTTTATAAATCAAATGTGTCATTCCATAATTCAATGGCTTCCTGTCAATATGATCTAAACTCCTTGCCAACCTTACTATTAACCATAAGGTCCTATGTAATCCAGTCCTGTCCACCTGTTCCATCTGTTGTTGCATTACAATCACCACCAGTAATTATTAATGCATCTGATTGCATACTTGATCAATTTTATCTTCAATTGAAGATGCTGAGAGAATTCTAGAATTTCACCATCATTGGCTTTAGCAGTTTGTATGGAAATTTGAGTAACAATATTATCTAGTTTTCTTTGTAAGCATATGTATATCATCCTATCACAGACAGCACTGTACTTCAAGACAGATCATAGATTCATTTTGACAATAAGCACAATGCCATTTTTCTTCAATTTGTCATTCTCAGCATAGTAAAACATATGACTGTCTGAGCAAAATTGGCCAATACCAGTCATTTCAGTTCAACAATGCCTAGGATTTGATCTTCGTGCATTTCATTTTACTTTTGATAACTCGGTATTTGCCTAGATTTGTATTTCATGTTCTGATTATTAATGGATGTTTACAGCTGTAGCTCCTCATTTTGAGTTGTATCCCCACCCCCCACCAGCAAAGGAGGGTCCCAAAAGCTGTACGACACTGTTATGGTCGACTCTACTTTGAGGAAGCAGCTCTTCCCCAGTCGCATTTTGAGTGTCTTCCAGTCTGAGGGGCTCATCTTTTGGCATGATATCAGAAACTGTTCCCCTCCTATTCATAAGGTTTCAGTGACTAGACATTCAGAAGTGATCTGTCTCTTCTTCTTCCCTATCTGTCTTAGTCTGGAAGCTCCACTGAAACCTATGTATCCTGGGTGACTCTGCCAGTATTTAAAATACCAGTGGCGTAGCTTCCAGCATCATAGCAACAGGCAAGCCATTACTTTATGACAAAATGACAGATGAGTGGTAGAATAGCAAAACCACTTTATAATTATTTTTAAATTAGACTTGTCCTAGAAAATAATACATTTTCTTGTTCACTGAGAGTGTTTTTGTTCCCTATAAACTAGTATACTTGTCTTCAAATAAACCTAAACTTTTATTGTTAGAGGGGTGGTGGTGTTTTCAAGTGCCATCAAGTCAATAACAACTCATAGCAGCCCTGTATACGGCTTTCTAAGAACAGCTGATGGGTTTGAATCGCTGAACTTCCAGTTAGCAGTTCAGTACTTATACTACAGTGCCAAACCAGAACTCCATTGATAGGGTTGTGGTTGTTGTTAGGTGCCATCGAGTCGGTACCGACTCATAGCAACCCTATGTACAAGAGAACGAAACACTGTCCAGTAGTGGGCCAACCTCACAATTGTTGCCATGCTTGAGCCCACTGATGCTGCCACTTTGCCAATCCATCTCACTGGGGATCTTCCTCTTTTTCTCTGACCCTCCACCTTACCAAACATGATATCCTTCTCCAGCAACTGGTCCCTCCTGAAATGTCCAAAGTATGAGAGACGAAGTTTGGCCATCCTGGCCTCCAAAGAGCACTCTGGCTATACTTCTTCCAACACAGATCTGTTGGTTCTTTTGGCAGCCCATGGCACTTTCAATATTCTCCTCTAACACCATAACTCAAATGTGTCAATTCTTCTACAGTCTTCCTTATTAGCCACTAGTATTTAGTAGTTTCGGTTGTTATTATAGATAAAATAATTTTCAATTATATTTTCTAACTGGTTTTGTTGCTAGACAAAAGTTCTTTTTGGATAATTATTGTGCATTATACCACTTGTTTAAATTTATTTATTCTAAGAAATAATCAGTTAATTCTCTTGGGATTTCTAGCTACATAATCATATTTTGTTTGACAATATCAAATGGTCTTCTCTAGCCTAATTGCTATATCAGTTACTTTAATTTTATATTTGGGAATTGGCCAAAAGGTCCAGAATAATATTAACTAACCACAGTCAGAAAAGGAAATACTTATTTTAATCATGGTTTTCCAAAGAAATGTTTCTATATGTTTAGTCATAATGTAAAACACTGGCTGTTAATATTAAACTATTCTTCCATTTCCAGTTGTCTATAAGTTCTTAATTTTACATGTCAGAAATTAACATTTAATTTTATCATTGTTGAGTGTTGCCAAGTAGGTCCCACCTCATAGGGATCCTACATACGGTTTCCAAATAGCAGCTGGTGGTTTTGAACTGCCATACTTATCCCTACAGTGCCACACCCTAGGAGCCCTGGTAGCATAGTGGATTACACACTGGGTTGCTAACTGTAAAGTCAGTGGTTCAATTCCACTAGCTGCTCCATGGGAGAAAAAATGAGGCTTTCTGCTCCTGGAAGATTTACAGCCTAAGAAACCCTATACAAAGTCGCTATGAGTCACAACTGACTTAATAACACTTAGTAACAACATTAATATCCTAGAGATCCCTGGGTGATGCAAATATTACCTTCTGAGGGTCAAGCTTGCCCAAGACCACTTGCATGAAATCTTCATCTGAAATTATGAAGGTTGTATCAGCAGAGCCTTTTGCAGGGCCTTTATACACTTGTCCAGAACCACTTTTTAGGTCGATAGCTGAAAAAAATAAGAAGAAATTAATATGTACCATTTTCCTTTCACATTATGAGTTAAAAATAGATTTAAAAAAATACAGACAAAACACTTTTCAGGTTAATCTGGTAGTCTCTCTATGTTGTTGTTGTTGTTGGGTACCATTGAGTCATATCTGACTCATAGCAAGTCAGTATAGGGTTTCCAAGGAGTGGCTGCTAAGTCTGAATCAGAGTTTATTGCACGTAGAAAGACATTCAGTGAGACTAAATTACCTCAGCAAGGCAAAATTTACTTCTGCAGAAGGGTGCATGCACATAGCTGTTCAGGAATAGGCCAGTGAGCACACTGAGCAGGTAGTCCACTGGGGTTTTTAATCCCTGATGCAAGTCTTAAGGCTGTGTCTCACCCTATTGGCTAGGGCTTCAACCACACAGTCATTTCCCTTACCGGGTTGACTAATTCAGATTTCTAAGGCATGCATTCTTCTTATTCACTTCAGGAAGCAGTAAAGTAGAAGAAAGGTCATACAGTCCCTACTCACTTCAGGAAGTAGCAAAAAGAAAAAGAAAGATCATAAAGTAGCAAAAATGAAAAGAAGATCATAAAGTCATTTCAGGAAGTAGTAAAAAAAAAACAAAAACAAAGAAAGGTCACCCAAATACAATAAACAGGATTATAATAATTTTAAAGAAAAGCTACTCATTCCCACAGCACCACACCAGTCTATTTATGTTGCTGTTTTTGTTGTTTAGTGCTGTCTAGTCAGTTCTGACTTATAGAGATCCTATATAGGGTGTCCAAGGACCGGCTGGTGGATTTGAACTGCCAAACTTGCAGTTCAAACCAACCTTTTGGTCCAGTGCTAAAACTACAGCACCACACCAGAATTCCAATATCTATAAATCATACATAATCAGTCACTTAGAAAAATCCTTTAGAATATCCTTTGTCAAGATGCCATCTTTAAAAAGAAGTTCTTCTAATGAGTCAAATAAATACTGATTTTTCCTTAAAAAGTTTATATACAACAGGTATTTTAAATGA